CCTATTATTATTGGTGGCCGAATTCTGAATGGCGATGCGTATGTTCTTGAAATGCGAGACTTCGATGTGATCTTGGGCATGGACTGGCTCACTCGCTATCGAGCCGATATCCGGTGCCAGGAGCGTGAAGTCACCCTCTTCCCCGTTTCTGATCAGCCTGTTGTTTTCTATGGGGTGAAGTCGAGGACTGTGCCTCGAGTCATCTCTTCTATGCAAGCTAGGAAGAGCCTTTCCAAGGGTAGCTGTCAAGGCTATCTCGTTTCTTTGGTATCCGATGCCGTTGATGAGCGTACTCCAGAGAGAGTGTCTATTGTCTGCGAATATCTCGATGTTTTTCCCGACGAGCTGCCCGGGGGACCGCTCAACCGTCAAGTTGAGTTCACCATCGATCTAGTGCCAGGAGCTGGTCCCGTTTCTAGGGCTCCTTATCGTATGGCGCCGAAGGAGCTTCAAGAGCTCAAGGTCCAAATCCAGGAACTGCTCAAGCTCGGTTTTATTCGACCGAGTGTTTCTCCATGGGGTGCGCCCGTCCTATTCGTGAAGAAAAAAGACGGATCAATGCGCATGTGTATCGATTATCGCGAGCTTAACCATCTGACGGTTAAGAACAAGTACCCTCTTCCTCGTATTGAGGATCTCTTCGACCAGCTGAGGGGAGCCAGTGTCTTCTCGAAGATTGATTTGAGGTCTGGCTATCATCAGCTGAAGATCCGGGAGTCGGATATTTCTAAGACTGCGTTCCGAACCCGTTATGGCCACTACGAATTTGTGGTAATGCCGTTCGGACTCAGCAATGCCCCGGCCGTGTTTATGGACCTTATGAATAGGGTCTTCCATCCTTACCTGGACCAGTTCGTGATCGTTTTCATCGACGACATTCTGGTCTATTCTCGGGACATCGATCAGCACAAGGAGCATCTGAGGATTGTGCTGGAGACTCTTCGCCGCGAGAAGCTATATGCCAAGTTTTCGAAGTGTGAGTTCTGGCTGGATCGTGTGGCTTTCCTTGGCCACATTGTGACAGCTAGAGGCATTGAGGTGGATCCCAGCAAGATCGAGGCTGTAAGCAAGTGGGAAACACCAAGAAGTGCCAGCGACGTCCGTAGTTTCCTGGGGTTAGCAGGATACTACCGGAGATTCATCGAGGGCTTCTCGAAGATAGCCCGACCCCTAACCAACCTTACGAAGAAGGCCGTGAGGTTTGAATGGAGTTCCGAGTGCGAGGATAGTTTCCAGGAGTTGAAGAGGATACTTACCACCGCACCCGTATTGTCGATTCCCGATCCTACTTTGGAGTTCACCATCTATAGTGACGCTTCGAAGATGGGTTTGGGATGTGTCCTAATGCAGCAAGGGAAGGTTGTAGCTTATGCTTCGAGGCAGCTGAAGCCTCACGAGCAGAACTACCCCACTCATGATCTTGAGTTAGCTGCTGTTGTCCACGCCTTGAAGATTTGGCGGCACTACCTCTATGGAGGCAAGT